GGGGGGATATGAACCAAAGGCAGTACTCACGAGTGAAACTTGTCCCTGGAGTTGAAGGCGATGTCTTTTGTCATGCTGTACAACCTGCAACAACAAAGAAAAGAGAATGAAACATTAGGTGTTACCTCACCAGAGCTCTTACTATAGAATATGCACTTCCATGCACACATACCCCCCGCCCCAAACCACTACCCCCAAACAAAACAAAAAAAATCCCCAACAACAAAAAACAACAAACAACCCCCCCCCAAAAAAAAACAACAACAACAACCAACAACAAACAAAAACAAAACAAACAACAAACAGCAACAACAAAAACAAAAACAACAACAACAACAACAACAATAATAATGAACATAAACGAACAAACAAACAACCCCCCCACCACCCAAAAACAACAAACAAACAAACAAACAAACAAACAAACAAAACAAAAAGAATCAAAGAGAAACAAAGAGAAACAGCTGCCATGACGAGACACATGAACTCATACAAAGTCCAGCGTGTAACACAATATGCGAGCTTGCCATGATAGAACCACGGAACTGGCCACAGAAAGCAACAAGAAAAACGTTTCCGCGAACTTCATCAGCTTTTTAGAGAGAGTGGGATAACAATGACAAGATCTATGTCTCAAACTGCCCACAACCCTTGTGCTCTCTCAGAGCATGTTGTATGGAGGGGGGGGGGGGCGGCTGGCAGCTGTCCTCACTCTATGTCAGAGGTCGTCCAGCCTATCTCTCTGACAGCGTCTGTGTTTGTAAACAAGGAGGTAGGAAGGAGGGCGGGGCAGACGGCCAAAGTCTTGGAAATCTATTACGTACCGCCATAACGCACGAATATCTGGCTGGGGTTTTTTTTTTCAACGAATAAGTAAGCATAGATCTACGTCTCTTTAAAAACAAAAACAAAACTGTATCCGTGTTTGGTGAAAAGTCTACATGGGAACTAAATTGTATGTATATTTAGAGGTCGGCAGCACTGATGATATCACGGAACTTATCACACAGCAGTTTGGTGTAGCCGTCTGTCGTTTCAACACTGGAGAAAGGCGAGGGACATTGGAGACCTCTGTTGTAAATTATGTTTTATCATCCCCCCCACCCCCTAACTTGCAATATAGATGAGTTATCAAAGAAAATATGCTCAAAAAGAGGGGTGTGATATCTATTTTAGCCGCTTCTCAATCGGGGGATGAATGTGGACACAATTTAGACAATGTTCTACCGGGCTGAGTGGGATACAACATCCCAGCAGACAGACCCGAGCTGAGAGGGGTACAACATCCCAGCAGACAGACCCGGGCTGAGAGAGATACAACATCTCAGCAGACAGA